CCAAAAAAACTAAAGTTTTGTTTTGCGTGTACAAAAAATTATTTTCACATCATATCAATCATAAATCAGAGCAAGATAGAGAGTGAGAAGAGCTAAGCAGGGAAAAAAGCTCAGTGAAATTTTCATTGTATAAGTGAAATTGAACGATGTGATGACAAGATGAGTCATATTAATTCATTAATAAGTCATTCTATTCATTATACAGTGAGAGGCATCCTCGATGATCTACATTGAAATATTATGCAGGCAAAAAAAAGAGTCCACTTTTATTGAAGCATTAAGGACTTTCTTTTTTGCCGTCTTATCGTTCTTTAGAAATAAGCATAAAAGCGCAACAGCAAGGAAATGAAATCGACAGAATAAACATATAATATTGGCAGTATGTGGAGCGCATACATACAAGAAATTTATGGGCAATTAATTATAGTCTCCGTACTTATATTATGAATGTATATATTTATATCAAGAGAGAATAAAGAACCAAATCATGACATGGACGAGGAGGCCTTCTGATCAATAAATAGAAATATCTATGTCTATATAATGGTAATGTCTGTACACATCTATGTCTATAATTCATTCTCGACTCCTTTTTTTTAGGTTTGGCCTTCTAGTTATTTATTTATTTTTTTTTTTGACTTTCTGCTGCCGTCAATCGCTGTTCTTTCTCGATAACGATATCAATTGAATGGCATGTCAATGTATGTCTTTATTTTTTTCGCATGTTCATTTTCATTTTTTTTTTGTGATATTTGGATGGGTTTTTTTTAAGGTGTGAGTAGTGAAATAGTTTTTGGTGTTTTCTGAGGGGTATGTGGGTACGTTTGGATTATTTTTGGACATGGGTACGAACTGAAAATTGAAATTTTGGCATTATTAAAATTAGTAGCATGTGTGGTCGTAGTAAAGGATTAGATAGTGATTAAGAAAATTGAATCCAATGCTTTTTAAATGAAAATTAAGGTTTTTGTTGTCTAATGCTAGCTTTTATCTATATCTACAGTTTAATTGATGGTCAGATTAATAGAATTTTGAAATTTTAATTCATTTGACTTTTAATGGTCAATCTACTCATGAGATTAAGGTATAATCGTAAAGCTGGCAACTAGTGACAATATTGAACAGCTTTTAAACCTACTTCTTGCTATTTTGACTACTAGTTCATCACAGGCGTCACAAAAGAAGGACGACATGAGCTACAAACGCTGATAAAAATTCAAAATGAAATGTTCAAACATCTGACACTTTATTGAGTACAATATCTGACTTACAGTATGAATAACTGCTGCCAAAAAGAATAATTCCTTTCATTATCTTTATGAAAGAGATTTTTAAGGAATGAAATACCCCCGAAGCTAGGCCTATTATTTTTAATAGAAAAAAGAACTTTTTCACTTATCGATCATACGTGATGATAATAATATTACTTAGAGGAATAATAAAAGAAATCCATCAATATTATCGTCATCAACGTAGTCATCATGAATACTCTCTTTGTACTAAAATGAGTGAGAATAATAAAAGTACACATATCAGCATTAGTAAAATCAACAACAACAATAGCAGTGAGGAGATGCGGGTGGTTCAAAGCTGATACTATAACATACCACATACCAATATCATATACATATTTACCGGAAAATTCCGGACGTATAAACACATAAATTTATCGTTCATAATAGAATTATATAGCATAGCGAGTGAGAGAGAAAAAGAAACATAAATATCATTGTGATATTTTTTTTATGTCGCACATATCGTACAACATAAATACCTCCTTTTTATTATTAAAAATAAATACATTTACTGTAATTCCCTCACTCAGTTGTGTGTACATGAGAGAACCTCATACACCCTCAGTTGTGTGTACATGAGAGAACCTCATACACCCTCACATGGGTTATTGTGGTGCGTTGATGCTGCTGCCACTGCTCACTGCTGTTGCTCTTGCATTGTATTTTATTTTATATTATTTTCATGTATAAATATAATAAAATAAAATGTATAAAACTTAACGAGGGAGGTAGGTTGGGTGAGTGCGATAGAGATATGAATAAGTTTTATGTTTATTTATTTATTGCTTGGGTGCATAACCAACCATCAACAATTGTTGCGAATATTACGATCAAAGATATTTGCTATGAAAAAGTTGATGAAAAAAAAATAAGGGAAAATGTCCTCAATTTGCAGGTTGTTCTCACTGTTTTTATTGTCTTTGCAGAAATTGTGTGGATGAATGTTGAAGAAATTTTATGAAAAGGCTATTGTTGGTAGCAATAAATGGATTTTTTCTATTGTCTTAATTTTTACTCATTAATAAATGAGATTTTTTATAATAATGAAGAAGTTAAAGGATTGTCGGTTGGCTGTTAAATTGAGTCCCGAGGGTGTTAGGATAATTTTAAGGGATCAAATTGGAGATTTTTGAGAAATTTCTAAATTTTTACTTTTTAAAAAATACTTGATAAATTTTCAATTCTTTAAAAACTATATTTTAATTTTCAATATTTTAAATAAAAAATTAAAATTGTAATTGTTTGAATTTTTGAGGAATTGTAAAAAATTAAAACTTTTATTAAATTTCTTAAAAAGCAAAATCAGTATAAAATTACATTTTGTAAAAATTGACATTGCAAGGAAATTAAAAATGTGAAAATTGAAATTAAGAATATTGATAATAGACTGAAAAGATTTAAAATTTTATTTATTTTTCAAGTTTTAAAAACAATTTTTTCAATTTTTAAAATTAAAGAATTCAACAAAAAAGTATTATAAATTTTTCCACATCTCAAAAAACAAAATTTGTCGATTTTCCTAAGTTCAGCAACACTTCTGTCATTTACTCAATTTAAACCCCTTCAATCCTAATACACTAGCTAGGAAAATGAAGTAATATTATTTCATAAATCTTTCACAACCCCACAGCAACAACTTCTCTATGCCGTTCGGGAAGTCTATCGTAAATGGATGAAAAACTTTTACCTCATTGTTCAGAATTTTTAATCTTTTTTGTGTTGAAAGTCAAATGGATTTTTTTTTTCAAAGGAAAATGTGCCTTTGTTGATGAAGAATTTAAAATATCAAATTTACAACTAAAATTTCATTTGAACGATTCTATTATTTTAGGAAAAATGTTTGGATATTTTTTCTCATTTCAATTCCACTGAATTTGTACAGTAAAGCAAATATTTCATTTATGATGAATTAAATAATTAATCCTACACACATTTATTAACAATTCATATTTCTCAAATAAAAGTTTGGCTATGCGATGATAAATTATATTTATATTTCATCAATGTATGGCCGAAAAATACTAAATATTTCAATTGACCGAGGAAATTACCAAAGAAAATATAATGTAATTTTAATAAATGTCAGCAAATCGGAACGTGTCTATCTGTAAATATGTTGTAGTAATTACTGTGATAATAAAGCAAATCAATCAAGTTGTTGTTAGCGTTTGGAGGTAGTTTAGGAACCACTTGAGGAGTAGATTTTTTGAGGTTGAGCAATTTTTATTTAATTTATTTTACATTTTGAGATTCTCAGAAATTTAAAAATATTTTTGATTTCATAAAATATTCAATTCCTGAATTTATAAAATTAAATTTAAACCTTTTTTTAAGTAAATTCGCAAAATCTTTTTTAATTTTTTTTATTATCTTAATTTCAAAATTTCAAAGTTTTTTATTTTTTTCATTCTTAAAAATTCAAATCATTTTAATTTTTAAATTCACTCTTTTTATAGAATTTAAATTCAACTTTTTCAAATTTATATATTTTTTGAACATTTTATTAATAAATCTTTCAGTTTTCAATTGCATTTGAAATTCAGTATTTATTTTCAAAGAATTACAAACTTTAATTTATTTTTTCAAATTTTAAACATTTTTTTTTTCTCGACAAAAACCTTCAAAACTTCATCAATAAAACTTTATTTCCACCAAAGCATCCTCAATCTACCCACTACAATGTATCCGTATCAACTCCAACCCCATCTTCATACTCAAAAGACAAACTAATTTTATCCCAAGAATTTCTCAACTTATCATTACTTCAGCAACATTTTCTTGCAATAAAATAAAATCTTGAAAGTTGAAAACTTCCTGAATTTAGAGCACAAGTGACGATATATAAAAAATATTTCATTTTGTTCTCTTATCGCACACTTCATTCAACTCTCGATATACCGCAATAATAACAAACACACAAAAAAAAGCAGCAAGTATTATACAAATAATCCACCCTGTTGTGAAAATACTTCACTCAGCATGTGAAAGATATGCAATGTAAGATAGGTTCATGTATACTTTCTGGTTTGCTGTTGATTCATCCTAGCATAGAGCTTGGAATTTTCATCACTCTTCATATTGAGTAGCAAGGCAGAGCAACAAAAAACAACGACAGCCCATTAAGAAAGCTACCTTCACATAGATTCATTTGATGATGTATGTGGAATAGCTTGTAAATGATATAGTCTATATAGACTCTATTTACACAAAATCTTCCGTTTTTTTTTCATTTTCATTACATTCGTTTCTTTTTCAGCCACTTGATGAAGGTAAATGAGCGAATGAAAAATTTTCTTCTTTTCTTCCATTTCTGTTGCCTTTTAATTAATTGTTTTGTAATTAATGATGTTGCAGTTTTTCCTACCGTCGCCGCATTAGTTGTCAGTTGAACATTATTTTTTTTTTGCCTCTATAACGGAGGTTATATTTTTTTTTGGCAAGGAAGAATGTGATATCACGAAAGGCAAGTTTCATTTCAAGTGGAAGTGAAATTAAGAAATTTCACAAAGTCATTTAGGGAGGTGAGGCTACTTATACTCGTATAGCATAAGATAGAGATAGAGGTTGATGGAAATGAAATGATAATAAATTAAGGACATCATTAAGGCACCGACGATTAGCGTCATCATGAGCTTGTCGTGTATGTATATATGCAAGAATGTCATTAGCGCGACGTAGGAAGGAAGCAAAGAAAAAAAAACTCACCATTATATAAAATATTAGAGCCTTTTGTGGCCTCAGGCGAGTGTGGTGGTGGACTTGGGGCTGTTGTGCCAGCAGTTGGTGAAGATGGTCCCCAGCATGTTGATGTCTTTGTTTGTTTTTGATTTGCCGGCGAATCACCAACTACGTCAATTTCTTCGTCTTCTTCCACCTCTATTGTAGGCTCACCAACTCGATCAGGCCAAGGATAAGCTTTCCATTTCTTTGCCATGAGACATTTGGTCATTGTTGAGATTAAATTGACGGGTGCTTGCGGTTGAAAATAATTTTTAAAACCAATTTTTTTACTCGTTTAGTTTCATTCAGGTACGAAATAAAAAAAAATCCCTCGTCACACAATAAGCTTCACTTAATTTTATTTTTGTTTGTCGTTGTTCACTTTAAAAGAAGAAAAAAAAAGTTTTTCCTATTTTTCTCGATGACTTCACAGTTTTTTTTTTCTTTTTAATTTTCTCTCAAGTATTTTGGTTTTTTTGTCAGCAAATGTAAAAGTTTCCTTCAGGAAGATTTGCTCGGGAAGGTATTTTTTAAAAAAAAGTCCTTTGTCACACTTTCCTTAAGCTCACTTCTGCAATTTTTATTTTATTTATAATTTATTATTGCTTTTAATTCAATTGCTATCGATTTTTTTCATAATAATATTTATAGTCCACAGTTCTGGTAATTCATAAATTATCCATCAATAAATCCTTATGTCCATTTTTTTGTGTAATCGTTCACTTTCACGTGAGAATTTCACATGTGTTTACGGAAAATATTATTATTATTATTTTTTTTCTACTACATTTATGTCTCAATTGTGTCAGCAACTTAATATTTTTATCCAGTTTACAATTTTTTTCGTCCACTTTCACTTTGTTGCTTAGGATAATCTTTGTTTTGATTTTAATTTTTTTTTAGAATTAAAGATTTAGAGGGAAAGTTTATTACAGACACTTTGTATAGTTCACAGTTCACAGTATAGTAGATTGTAGAAATAGTTTTTAATATTCATTCACATAAAAATTGATAAATCAACTTTTTATTTAAATGAACTAAAAAATTTTCTTATTTTTCTTCACTTGACTTAATAATTCTTTATAATTTTCTATATAAAATTGCTTTTTATTTCAGGCTATTTAACACTTAGAGATTTTCTTTGCAATTCAATTATATGCGAACTTAATCATCACCAAGAATAACTTTTTAATTTTTTTTTTCTTATTTTTTTTTGTGTATTGTACTGAACATATTATGATGTACGAAACGAAAAAAAAAACACAACTTTAAATTAAATAAATTGGATACAAGATGATGAAGAAGATATAGAGAAGAAGATTGAAAAAAATATTTTTGTTACGATCTGTTTGTCTTCAACCCTTAAAGGCTTTTGATTCATCCCTGTATCGCGCACCAGCTTTTAAAACATTTGTCGACGACAATTCAACTAGTCGCGTATGGTGGGGATGATGTTGTGCGTATAACATTAAATGTCTAATGTTTATCGTCCTTGTTGATCCTTACAGCTGCTTGAATTTCATTGTTTCGACCAAAACATTGCGCACAACATTAGGGGAAGTCTTGAAGTTCCCCTACAATTGCCGAATCATTCAGCCGATTGTTGCTGTGCTGTTGGGAATATAAATACGATAATATACAAACTGTTGAGTGCGCAATGTTGATTCTATTTCTCCTCAATTTCCTTCTCTTCTCTTTTCTCTTCCTTTCGTTCTCTTCTTTCTATTCTCCTTCCGTTGTTGCTTCGCTCTTCGCTTCCTTGTTTAATATAATTCCCTCTTCGTATTGTTGTTGCTGCAACTTTTCTGCTGTTGCCTGTTCTGCTACGATGTCTCTATATATGTCTGTGTGTAAGCATTTTGTGTGAATGAAATGAATGTGAAACCTTATTATATCTACTTACCGCTTATGTTATTGAATTCATACTTTATGTTGAATTCGCATCATGCTGGCATGTTCGCATGGTGATTTTGTATGTGCTCTTGTTGGTGATTGCTGTGGGAAAGGTGAATGAATTTTAATCCAGTTCTTATGAATTTTGTCAATCTTTTAAAAGAATTTTGATTTTTTCACATACCTAATATCAACTTCCTGGACTCTCAATTAATGTTATAAGTCTTATGTCCAATCTTATACAACTACTAAAAACATACATAAAAAACTTTTGCCTCTTATTTTATCTGCATCAATTGATGCGAAAACTACAAACAACGAAAATTCAAATCAAAATTGTCCGTTAAAACCTAAAATCACGTTTTTGAATCAAATATGATTTCCATTTACATAGAAATCGATTATTTAGATCAACAAACAACTCTTTTTGAATAATATTACATTTTCATTATGCAGAATTGAGGAAATTTTATGGCACACTGTGTATAAGCAAAACACAATCTCACAGTATTCATGAAATATTGCAATAAAAAGCAACATAAAATTTCAAATCATTACAATATCTAATGACTTCTGAGGTTTTTTTTCCTATTGAAGAACCAGCCTTATGCATTATAACTGGTAATTTATTGAAACAAAAAGTGCTGTAATAATAAAGAATTTTTTTTAACAAAATAATTTTCATTCAAAATGATTTATTGCCACTATTTGCCACGATAGTGAATATATATGTATAGTTTTGAAGCAGTATAGAATAGAGAATAGAAAGAAGAAATTATGAGTAAATATTTGAGATTTTAAATAACGAATTCCACAAATTTTCCTCCATTCTGCTTCCTTTTTCCTGTTGCTATAATTTTTAGTTGAGTTGCAGAATGAATTTACTGCATAATTTAATATAATATCTACAAACACAAGTGTATCTAAATTAATCGAGAGAGTAGGGAAGAAAATAGTAAGTCGACATTAAATCAATGATGAATTGGAGGTTATTAATACAGAAACTAGGTTGCTTAAGGGGCCATTCACTTATTACGTAACGCTTTTAGGGGGAGGGGGGGGGGTTTAAGATTTTGTTACGGTTCAAACAAGGAAATTTTTTTTTCATACAAATTTTGTTACGAGGGGGGGGGGGAGGGGGGGGGGGGGTCTAAGAAGTCATTTTTTCGCGTTACGTAATAAGTGAACAGCCCCTAACCTCTTTCATTAATGAAAAAGCGCAATCTTTCAAGAAAATATTTTAAAACAAATAAAGTTGTCAACTGTCAATAGATATTTATGTAATAATGGTTTTCAAATATTTGAAAAAATAGCTATTAATAAGATTTTGAAATATGACGGTCAGTAAATATTTAAAAATATAACCGTAAAAAAATATTCGAAAATTATCAAACAGATTTTAATAGTTTAATTTGGTGCAAGAAAGAAAGACGAGTGCCTATTAAAAACCTAAGTTCAAAAATTTCGTAACCATATTTTTTCGACTGGCTTTTTTTTAATTTTTTTCTTGGTTTAATTTACAAATTTTTAAAACCGTTAAATTGATTTTGCAGATAACGGTTCATAAAAATTTAAAAATTATACGAAGAAAAAAATCGATAAGGCAGTCAAAAAAATAAGGTTTCAATTGTTGAATTTAGTTTTAGGCACTCTAAACAGACAAAGCACAAAGGTTGAGTAGCTCCCATTCGTTAAAAATGCGCCAACAAGAAATAGTTTCCAATCGAAGTGCAAGCGTACACGAATTGCCATAAATCAGCTTTTTTGCGTTGCTTAAGGTTGCCGTGAATCTTCTAATTCAATCAAAACACACACACAAAAAAACACTGTTTATACAGATAGAAAAAGGAAAACACATCAATGATAGCGATAACATAATAAATCATATATACATTCTGATATTATTCCCTGATTGAATGATGAAATGAAGTTTTTATTTATTAGTTTTTATTTATTTTTGCTATCATCTTCACCCATTCCCATACAAACTTTCCTTTCTTTTCTTTTCATATTTTTATTTGCAGTAGCTATTTTATGCTTAATCATTTCGACAACAATTCATTTCGATTTTGGAGGCAGCATAGGAATAGGGCGAAGACAAATACATCAAAATAATCGTAATAATAACAATAATAATGCACAAATATAGCAAATCAAAATGAAGAGAAAAACATTCTTGAGTGAGAATATCAGCCTGGAGGCTTGTTTGGTTGTCTGGATGTCCAATGGATTTTTTGAGGTTATTTCTAATGTTTGTATGTTAGTACTTTGGTAATTAGCTGCAGAACGATAGGTACTGCCATGAGTTATTACATGCATGGGAAATAAATGGGAATCGAACCCATGAGTGCATGAATAAATCATTTGAAGGGCCAGTCGAGGCTTCATTCCACATAAGCACAATGACTTGAGATCAAATCCCTGCAAAATGCGCTATAAAATCAAGAAATTCAATAAACTCCCAAACTTTCTATCTATTTGCCTCTAATCTGGTGTGAGAACTGAATCCAACAGCCATGATGATTTTTGTTCCTATTCAGCTGGGTAGGGCAATAAAAATCAAATAGCAAAAATTGACATGCATAATAAAAATTAATAATTCTTATGATATGATATAAATTTTTTTGTTCTTGCTGACTCCCGACTTTTTGTACATTTTAAGGCATTAGATTGATTTCATTTCTCTTTTTTGACTTTTAGATTACGCGCTTTAATCATAAAAATCAACAATAATAAAAATATGCAAAGAAATAATTTATTTTTGCCTCCATTCTTATGTATCGTAATGATTATCATGACTTTTCTTATGTATCCTCATCTTTCACAATCTATTTTTTTTCTGTTCATTCTGCACAATCGAAATAAATTTTTTTTTTCTGTGCCATCTACCACCACCCCAACCCAAAATCCACACTCACTCTCGCATAAATGATGAATAATTACAATGAATGATTGCAGAAAATTCATCAATTTGTGATGTAATCTCTGCGATTTCAGCTCTTGTTGTTCTTTGTACTTAGCACTAACAAAAAGGAAATGTATCATGAGATAAACCGTTTGAATGTAATTCTCGCTTCTATGCTTGAATCTTATTTTGGAAGTTTTTTTTGATACTTTTTCTACTCGTGGTGTTATGAGGAACGAGATGAATAATCTGAGATTATTGAATCCTCGGTTTGTTGAGTTCTGGATGAAAAATTGAAGTTTTTTGAGTTATTATTTATTTGAAGTAGGATTTTAGCCAGAAAAGGCTGAGATTCAACATCGAATTTGCACAACCTGGTTTAAAAATTGACAAAATGAAGATAAAGTTCATCAAAATGAAGCCGAAATTCATTCAATTCAACCTTATCAAGTCGTAAAACTCAAGAATCTAGTCAAAAACTTTTTAGTATTAAAATGCTGAGCCATGATTTTAAAAAGATGTAGTACCTCAACGTACCATACCTTGAGTTTATTGCTTGCGGCTTGTTTATAGAACTACAC